GGCATATGTGCAAATGTGCTTGACACATTGGAGGAATGTATGGATTGTGATAAGAGATGTAAGCGCCCCCAATAAAAGTATTTTTAAAAAATAGAAATAGAGTGGTATTGAGTTACACTCAAGATCAATATTCAGACACCATACTGATATAAATGATAAATAGTTGCGGTTAGTGAGAGAAACATCACCTTGACTGAAAAATTGCAAATTTATATAGTCTGTGCTCAAGGAATAGAACCCACCTCCACACCCCTTAAGGGTGGGCTGCACTAGGGGATTCCTCCCAAAGAGTACAAGATGGGAATGGGGTGGGAGGATCATTTTACACTGGAGACCGGACACACATATCTGAGTCAGGTGATCAAGGTTCACGGCACCACTGGTAAGTCTTGTTGATAGTATGCACCCTTGGTCTCATGTGATAAGACTGGTCTTCCAGAAACCCATATTCCAAGCCTCCCCAAGATCTGCTGTTACACACTTCTGTTGCCTTCACCCATGATTCAGACAAATCCCAACTGAAAACCAGTCTACAAAATAGCCAACCAACACTCTTCCGCCCTCTCACAGTCATCACAAACAAAGTCTAAGAGACTATCACAGCCAAGAGAAGCCTAAGGAGACCTGGCAACTAATTGTAACGTGGAACCCCTTCCATACCTCATTCACAATAAAAAAAAATTGTTAAAAAAATAATGTGGGATCCTGGACCAGAAAAAGGACACTTGGTACAGACTGAAAACAACAGAATCACAACTAAGGGTGTCTGATACCGTGTGGCCTTTAGTTAATTAATTACAAAAATGGCTTCATTTCCTCCAGAGATCTCAGACGATCTTGTCTTAACATAATTGAAAGTCCTGCAGCTTAGAAGTCGTTAATGTTAACATTTTGGCCTCTACTGGTTGGTAGCAGCCTAATCATTAATTAAAGAATATATAATGATGGTGAAATATGTACAAATATGCTTGATACAATTGATGTGTGGATTGTTATAAGAGCTGTAATAGCCCCCAATAAAATGATATTTAATTAAAAAATATATTGCCTTGGACTTATTTGTTGCAGTCTTATAATATTTAACCGCTGATATTATGCTTCCATAATATTATTATATGTAAGATGCTGTATCCTAGACACAGCATGATAGTTTCACTAACTTCTCCCTTTGAGGCCACGTCTCAGGAAACATGCTTGTTACCTCTTCATACTGTCGGGCATCTTTCTGAACTAAAGCTGTACTTAAGAAAAAACGAGCCAAGTGTTCGTTTTTGATTCCAGGGCAGCCCTGCGCTGTATAGCAGCGTGATGATGATCATAGCTGAGGTCTGAGTACTTCCGTTTTAGGGACTCCACTCATCTAAGCTGGATCAACAACTCTACGAGGCAGGTAGTGTTACCCCTTTTTGGAGGCAAAGAAATCCGGTACAGATTGAAGGAACTTGCACAAAATTTATTCAGAAAAGTTAAGGCAGCTGCTCCTTGGGGATCAATCTTCGTATTCCTGGCGTATGTTTTCCATTTTGTAGCAGATCTATATCTGGCCTGAGGAAATCGTTTGGGTGAAGTGAATCCAGAAAATTGAGAAAAATGCTTCATTACTTTAAATAGCAATACTGAGCCCATTATAGCCTCTGAATTATCCCTTCGTAGAGTTTGCTAATGCTGCCAACTTAGTCATTTGCAGCTCAAGAGTTGAGTGTATATGCCCCATTGACATCTTCGTGTATTCCAGAATGTGCAATGCTTTTCTGTTTGTTTGGGCCCATGTACTAGGGAAATGTTAAGCATAAGGTGGTTTGGGTCATTACAGTTAAATCAGCATTGCACTGTGGGCTGTGATATTTTACCACCTGGCAAAATTATTTTGTGGCTCTAATAGAAGGAAGACCTTCCGAACTTACTTCCACTTAATCCTTACTGTTCAAATGAAGAGGAGCTAGGGTCAGGTGCTTGTCTTCTGTCCTTTCCTTCCTGAGGAATACGAAGAAGGACGCACTCCATGCTGGGGTGTGATGGACACACAGACCCAGGTCCAGCTAGTTAGGCTCAGCCTGTATGTGTTGTGCTGCTGTTTCAGCCAGCTCTGTGGTCCAAGTGACCATGGGTTCTTCTTAGAGGAATGATTTGATATGGCATAGTTTGGGCATAATCAGTATAGTTGTTGATAACTTGTCAATTCTAAGAAGTACACATACTCTAAAATTTTCAGTCTAAATGAATGTGGGAGGTGGGAGGGAGCACTAGAACTGAATGATTACACAACTCGTTTTAAATTATTAAGGGTGCATGGGGGAAAGGGGAGGAGGAAGGGAAGGGGAGGGGGGAAAAAAAAAAGGAAAATGAGCAAATTCCGGGAACCCAAGAGGCAAGCGAATTTTGGGAATAATGAGGGCAACAAATGTATAGATGTGCTTTACACAATTGATCTATGTATTGTGATGAATTGTATGAGCCCCAACAAATTGATTGAAAAAAAGAAGAAAAAAACACACACACAAAATAAATAAATAAAATAAAGGCCATTTCACCATTAAAAATGTTTTAAAATTGATTATGGTAATGATTGTCCAATTCTTGATATGACTGAACTATTGAATTGTATGATGTGGATTGTGTGCCAATAAAACTAAAAAAATTTTTTTTGGTGTATCAGAAGGACTTTTTTATTTTGGAAGCAGAACTAATTTCATTGAATTTGAGGCACTCAATTTTAAAATGTGCGTTTCTTGTCTGTAATACAAGACCCTATTGTGAAATACTCTATGGGCAAGTGGAAAGGAATTTAAGAGACCCAGGTTCAGAGTTATCTTTGCCACGTACTAATGGAACACCAGGAGTCACTAATCCTATCTGTACCTCAATTTTTCCGATGGAAAACAAGGACTAATCACACCTCCTCAGAAGTTTTACATCGAATGGTCCTGTGTCGGTGATGGTCTGTTTTACGCTGCACAGCACTCTGTCCTGGGAGCCCTCAGAAAGGTGATTTTCTCAGCACTTCTGGGAAAGCTCACTAATGAGACCGCTCCCTACTCTCTGAGTGCCCTAGGGAAATTTGAGTCAATGGTTCTGTTTATCTAGGAAAGTGGGTGGTTATATTAACATTTGCTTTGTCTATGTATGACCAAACACTGGTATTTCTGAAGGTGAAATAAGCAAGAAGTAGACAGGAAACCACTTTTCATCATTTTAATAGCAGAGCAATAAAGCTCTAATGAAGCTAAAGGCCTTTGTAAAACAAGCTTCTCCAACTCTGCCTTTCCTGGTCCCTCTTACGCCAAACCGGCCAGGTTCGCCTGAAGCAAAGAGCCTTTCTCTTGCCCAAGTGAGGAGCCTTCTTTCCAGCACAAAGGCCCCTTCTGACTGTCTCTGCAAAGTCTCTTCAACTGTAATTCCCATTCCTTTGTAATCCCTAGACTCTTTTCACTTGATCCCCATAGGAAAGTCCCAACATCCTGTACTGGCATGATACCAACACCAGGGTTAGCTGGCTCTCTTACTGGACATAGATAGCAACAACTTCAGGATGATCAGTCATGCTAGCATCCAAATGAATTCTGTCTTTGATTTCACCAAGGGAAGCATTTGTGCCCACAGTGATTGCTCTAAAATAAGTGGATGCCTGGCCCTGCCCTGAAACTGCCCCCAAAGAATCCATCTGCTCGCTGCTAAGAATCTGACAGGACTTGCATCTTGGAGTCAAGGTTATCTATCCTTCCCAGAAGGCCCTGCAAAAGGAAGCCATGGGTTTCTCACCGCCCGTTGCCGGCTAAGGGCCATCAAATAAGTGCCATCGATGAGATGGCATTGTTGCTGGGTGCCCTGGGGTCAGTCCCACTCACAGAACAAGCCGCTGCCCCGGCCTGTGCCGGCCTCACAGATGTTGCTGTGTTTGAACCCAATGCAGCCCCTGTCAATCCACCTGTTTTCCCTGGCCCTCTACCAAGCATGATGTCCTTCTCAACATGCATTTTCCTGAGAGCATTAGTTGGAAGCTGTTCTTACTTGAAGGGACCCTAAAACTCTGTTCCACAGGTATTTATGTCTCAGATGAGAAGCAGAAATGGAGCTGCGTGCCTTCAGGCTGAAACTTATGGTGGCATGGCCTGCCCTTTGGGTATTTGAGGGGAAAACTGGCTGTGGGAAGCAGAGTAATTAAGGGGCAAGCATTTCACCTTCAGCATAGGGGTTCACATGTGTCCAGTTGGAAAAGTGGCCCTCCAACACAGAGAAGTAAAATACGACCCCTAGTGGTCAAAGAAGAGGAAGGTGGAAAGCCAAGGTTCCCCGACAGGTGTGGGGCAGAGTGACAAGGAGGGGTGCCTTTGGGGCAGGTATCTTTCCAGAATATGATGGGACCTGGCCCGGTGGTGCTGGTACCTTTTCAATTGGCCTGGGGCACCGCCCTGACAAAGGCCCCTGCATACTTCTGTTGTCAAAGTGACTCACTGATACGAAGAACATCAAAGGAGGCCCTCCCCCAGCCCCACCCTCACGGAAGAAGAAAGGCACCAGCCATCCATCCATGTCTCTAAACATGCTGGTCTTGTGCCTGACCTCGTGACTGTGAGCTGGAGAAGGATGGGGTACAGGGCACACTTTTAGAAGCAAGGAGAATCAGCCCAACAAATAATGTTAGCCAACCAGGTGGTCAGGGAAAGGGCACGCTAAGTGCTCTGTGCTTCCAGTGGCTGCCCCCCTGCTTCCTTGTTATAAGTACATGACCCAACTGACTTTCTGGAATTGCCTCCCAGTACCGATAGTAGTTAGTTGGCTCCGTACCCACAGAGAATGACGCCTTCCTGATTGTAATCTTCTAGTTAACATTTCAGTAATGTCAACCCCAAGCGACCCCAAAGGGTCTTTTCCGCCTTCCTTATCAGCGTCTCCATTTCTCCAGAAGTGTCATAAAGTAAGATACAATTTATACTTCCTGAAATTCTAACTGCCACGGAAGACCTTGACCAGAGTCTGGGTTTTGGCCTGTAATGGGGGCATCCCCTCAGCCAGAGCCTCCCGTACACTGCCGTGTGTGTGTGTGTATGTGTGTAGCAGGTAGGCAGGTAAGTAAAGGGGACTCTGCCTCTGCCCTACTCAGTTCCTGGAACTCAGGATGAAACTGACGTCCAGAGGGACAGGCTTTACAGTCTCTGGGTTTCCTCCTGCCTCTCCCTTGAATGGCAGTGCAGGCAGGAGGAGCAGGGGGAGGAGAGGGCGGCTTTGATGAAAGGAGTACGTGTAGTTCTTTCCCAGGAAAGATCCCACCTGCAGCTCCTTTGACCATCCCTTTATCCACTCTCAGGGAAGAAGACGCAGAGCCTCACTATTTCCACACCTGCCCTTTATTGGACTCATCAGCAGGCCGGCCCCAGGCCCTTCACATTTCTCAGACACCTTCCGGAGGGTTTAGGAAGGTGCCATCATTCTGTGAAGGCCCAGAGCCACACCAGCACTGGAGTCTTAAGTTGAATGAGTGAGCGAGCAGAGGGCTGGGTGAAGGAAGGGAAGGGCAGCAGACCCGAAAGGCAGGGCCCTCCTAAGAGGCACTCCAGGGAAAGCTCAGGTCCAGCAGTGTCCCCGAGGGCACCCTGGGCCCTAAGGCAGGAGGGTCGGTCTGCCTGCTCCGTCTATATGGCAACTTTGAGCAGGCGCTTGATGTCCGGCTCGATGCTGATGGTCTGGAAGGTGCGGCTGTAGCGGCGGAAGGGCTCCCCCTCGGGCCCTATAAGGAACTTTTCAAAGTTCCAGGCCACGTCGGAGCGGCGCACGGGGCTCCAAATGAAGAACTTGGGATCGGTCATGAAGGAAAATGGGTCGTCATAAGGGTAGGGGAGCTTGTCCTTCAGGTAGGCGAAGACGGGGTGCTCGTTCTGACCGTTCACCTCACACTTTTGGGCAAGGGTAAAGGTGGGCTGGAAGCCGCCTCCAGGGCGGACATACTTGAGACTGTTCAGGATCTCCTCATTCTGAGAGTTCTCCTGAGGAAGGAAAAAGACAAAGCGCATGGAAAAGGGAATGGGGGCACTGAGGGGCCCCACCATGCAGAGCTGTCTCCCTCCCACTCCTCTCCCAGGATCATGCCTCTCTGCCACCCTCCTCCTCCCTCCCAGCACCTCCCCTTGCTGTCTGCCTGATCTCTCTGTCTCTTGCTCGCTCTATTCTTTCTTTGCTGCTCCAGTGGCTCTGCCCAAGTCTTGACATGAAGCTTTCCCCCTTGTGATTGATGGTTTCTGGAAATTCTTACAGTTCCTAGCTTGGCTGGCTGATATGGAAAGATTTAGCCCTTTGGAGCTGTCGGTCCTGCTTCCCATCTACCTGAACCCTTCTTAGGGTACCTATCTGAAGCTTCAAGAAACCTGGAGTTTAGGGCAGAAGAAAGGGAAAGGAGGTCTCAGGCTATACCAGGGGCTCAGGCTAGAGCTGCCAGCCCTGTTGGTCCCCTTTACTTACGTACCACCACCACCCACACACACACACACACTGCCAGCCCCTTTCCTTTCTACTCTGGCTCTGGCTCTTGCTTTTCATCACAGGTGAGTGTTTCGGGTAACCTTTGCCTCGGCCCAACTCAGTTCCTGTAGCTAAGGATGAAACACGTCCCAAGGGATGGGCTTCACATCTCTTGGTTTCCTCCTGCCTCTCCCTCGAATGGCAGTGCAGGCAGGAGGAGGAAGGTGAGGAGAAGGTGGCTTTGATGAAAGGAGTACTTATAGCTCTTTCTCAGGAACCACCTAGCAAAAGCAAGGTGGAGACAGCAATGACTGTCCTCTAAATGGAATGATTTCCTGACTACCAGGCGTGCAATCCACAAGACAGAAGGCTAAGGGCTGGGACTAGGCTCAGGGAAAGACGTAGTTAAGGAAATAGTGCTTGAAGGCTCTGGGTTGCAAATCTGTAATTCTTACTCTTGTCACACACAGGCTGCCATGCCAAGACTTTGGCACCTCCTATTTACCCTCTGTACTCAAAAGCTTTGCTTTCGTTCTGAACCTGTTACCCAAACCTATTACCTGTGCCCACTACCATCCCATCACCATCCCTGTCCTATGCCCACTCCGCATTGCCCCCCACCCCCACCCTACCCCAGCAACTCCAAAAGGTCTGTAAAGAGGAACCCTCATTCATGGTCCATCTCTCCTTTCTCCCATTCCGCCCCAGTTTAGGTGTCAGATGGCTTCTGGGAGCGAGTTTCTCCCCCTGACCTAATAGAGCCAATTAGTATAGTCAGCTTGAGACCCTCATGACATCGTGAGCCCAGAGGTGAGCTTGATTAAACTTATCTCTTAATGCAAAGGGAGAGCTGCCAACCCGCTGCCTCCAGCAAGTTAGGTGCCCCAGACTGGGGCATGGCCCAGGCAAGAGAGAGTGCCCTAAAAGGATTTGCCCTTTCCATGCCCCTGCCGTGACAAATCCTGACAGGAGACAAGGAAGGAAGAGCGAAAGCAGTCATGAGTTGGGCTCGGATTTGTCACCGCCTGTGACACTTCATGCTCACTTCTCACTTCTCTGCTCATCCTTTCCCTGCCTTCGCACCACTGTGAAGGGAGCCCAGGGGATTCGAACTCGTGGGTTCACTCAGGGACGTGATGCCTGCTAGTGCGATTCGAATCCTCAATAGAAAGCAAAGAATCCCTTCAAAAATAACTTGAGGTGTGTGGGCTGAGATCTGTAAGGAGCCGGCCCCTCCCTTCTGCGGAGGCACTGACGGGAGGCCTGCTCCTTTAACCTGCCCCCACCCAGGTTCCCTTTCCACCTGGCTGAATTTTTTTTAAACCTCCCGTCTAGATTTTAAAGTTGCGTGTAAGTTTACAGTATTGGATAGTCCTCAAGCCACTTTTGTATCCAGAACCTCACCATAACCCTCTAAGTCAGTGGTTCTCAACCTGTGGGTCTCCACCCCTTTGGGGGTCGAACAACCCTTTCACAGGGGTCACCGATTCATAACAGTAGCAAAATGACAGTGATGACGTAGCAAGGAAAATGATGTTTTGGTGGGGGAGGCTCACCACCACATGAGGAACTATAAGGAACTGTATGAAAGGGTCGCAGCATGAGGAAGGTTGAGAACCACTGCTCTAAGTGATAGTATCTCAGCTTTACAGTTGAAGAAATGAGAGAGAAAATTTAAATGACTTCCTAGGCAAAGGCCCACTGGGGACCTAGTGGGTTACACATTGGGCTGCTAACTGCAAGGGCAGCATTTCAAAAGCCACAGCAGTTTTGAGGAAGAAGGATGAGGCTTTGGACTCCTGTAAAAAATATACAGTCTCAGAACAACACCACCCCCGGGTCGGGTGGGGGTGGGGGGCAGCTCTACCCTGCCCTAGAGGTGGACGGCAGTGCGTTTCGGGTTCTTAGGACCCAGAGCCCTTCAACACAGAGCCAACACTAGGCAACACCACCACAGTCTCCTGAGTCGCTCCAAGGTGGCTTTGGTCCCTTCTATGTCTTCCGCTCATTCCTTCCACAAGGAGTGCCTTCGACCCCCTAGCCACTGAGTCCGGCTGGAGAGAAAAACAGCCCGGTACTCCGGGAGTCCGGGAGTCCAGTGAGGAGAGAGGAAACAGAACTTAATGTCAGGATGACAGACAGAATCAAGTACACTTCCCCTTGGCGTTCGCCTAAAGACCAGATGCCCACAACACTCCCTCAGTTCCAGACCCTCCAGCATGCGTGAGCACTCACCCCCGCCCCAGCCCTGCTCTTTAGGTGGATCCATGCCAGGGACCCCTCACCTGATGTCCAAACTGGTTGCAGGGGAAGCCGAGGACCACCAGGCGCCTGGGAAAGCGGCACTGCAGCTCGTTGAGCTGGGTGTAGTCCCGGGTGGTGGTGCCTCAGAGCGAGGCCACATTCTCTATCAGCACCGCCCGGCCTCGGAACGCATTGAAGTCGATCTTGTCGCCATCCAGGCTGGTGGCACTCAGGTCGTAGAAGGACTTGGCGATGTAGGCCATGGTGAGCGCGCACTGAGCCCCGCAGAGCCGCAGGAGCCTCTTAAAGGGTGGGGAGGAGGGAGGAGCCCGTGGGAGGGAAGAGAGGATCCCACAGTGGGGCTCCGAGTGTACTGCCCCAGGATGACTTGGCAAAAACAGGCGCCACCTGTGCGCGCTGTTTGAACAAGGAGGTCACCCCTCCTATTTACAGGCTGGGGACACGGCGGCCTGCCTGCCCCACCCTGCTGGCCACCTGGGAGGGGCCCATTTGATATCTCGGAGCAAAAATGAATAATTCACTACTTGCCGGAAACTGGAACCCCAAAGGTCAATCGGGGAGGGAGGGCGGGAGGGAGAGATGCACACGAGGACTGATGCCTACTGGTCCCAGCAAGTCGTTTGCACTTGGCACCACCCTCTGTGGAGTGGGGGGCGAGTGCCAGGCTTTGAATGGTGCTGCGATGCGGCCTCAGTGTCTGAAAGCCGAGGCTGGGAACCGAGGCAGCCTCCTCTTCACCCAACTCAAGGGACAGCGGAAATATACCATGCACGGTTCTTATTTTCTCTTTGCTGTCGCTTTCCACCCACACAAAATCGAAGGTCCCCTTGGGAGGAGTGGGTGTGGTTTTTCTAGAAACAGCAGCTGGCACCAGGCTGAGATGGAAGTCTTGAAAAGCCTTTCCCTGGAGAGCAGGCCTGCCCTTGCCAGGGCCCGGCACCATCTATCATCACAATACACATCCCACGTTGGCCCCTGTCTTCCCAACAACATCCAAACACACTGTCCTGAGGGGGAGGGACACAGAGCAGGGGTGCCAACTCAAGGTGGCTGAGCTCTGTCTAGCTCCTCTCAGAGCAAGGGTCAGCCCTCAAGACTGTTTTTCAGGGGAGACTTGTGCTGATTCATCTCCCCATCAAGCATGCAGGGAGTTGGCACTGCTGTGGTTGTG